AACAAGCAGCCCGAGGAGTGCTATGACTCAGCCTTTAGAAAGCCCAGGCTGCCTCTGTGCTCACCACTGCTAACCAGTGAGTCTGGAGCTGAAGCGTGCTCCAAACCACTCCAGAGTAAGGTTTCCTCTTCTTTTCTTTGGACATAGCACTCGGGCTGGGAAGCAGGCTGACAGCACCGTGCTCACAGCCCCCACCTGCTCAGCAGGCAGAGCACGCAGCTGGGAGGTGCTGGGCATCGGCATTGCATTGCCTGGGCAGAGCTGTCTCCAACTGCTGCCTGGGCTCTGTCCCCTGTCCTCTGTGCCAAAGAGGCAGTGGTTGTTTGTGACCTGAGCTGCAGTGGGGCTGGTCAGTGCCCAGGGGCTGATCCTGGTATTGCTGCTGGCTGCTTCCAGCACTTCAGAGCTTCAGAGGCTGCCAGAATTCCCCAGCATCTCCTCCACGCCTGCCATGGTGCTGCTGGCTCCTGGACCACGGTGGAGTGGAGCTGTTCTGCTTCTGAGGACTTGTCTCCCTGTGCTTTTTAATCATTATTTTTAAAGGAAGGGATGTAGGATTATCAGATAGCTTCTCAGGGATGCTCTGCCAGCCTTGTGCAGCCTTATTATTTTCAATTTTCAAACCGGCAGTGCCGGTTTGCTTTGCTGGGAACGTTCAGGCATCGATTTGTGGATTCTTTTGTTGCCTATATCAGAAAGTCCCATCCCCTCACTCCTCTGCAATGAAAGAAACAAAGAGCAAAGAAAGGTAGATGCTGTGTGGCACTCTCAGACACCAAAGTGATTTCTAAAAGCTGGGGAGCCAGTTACTGACTTGGTGGTTTGTTTTCACGCACACACACACTCTTTTTTCTTTTCTTTTTTTTCCCAGTGGTAAATGAGGGTACTTACTTGGGAAGAGAGCAGGCAGAAGGGAGGAGCGGGGCCAGGGGCTGCTCAGGATGCTGAGCGCCCTGCTCCTGCCTGCAGAAGCCAACCCAGAGCAGCTGCCTGCTGCAGGAATGGAGTGGAGCTGCTGCTGCTGGGCAGGTCCGTGGAGCGCTGCTCTGGTGGAGGTGGGGAAACTCAGAGACAGGTTACAGATTGCTCTGTGAGGTTTATTTGTATACGTGTGCTGCAGAACTTCCCCTGTTATTTGTCATGCCTGCTTATTGTTGTTTGAGTCTGGCTGTGCCTTGTCCCTGCGCAGAGGGGCAAAACCAGAGGCCAGCCATGGCCAGCCCTGTACGGAGCACTGCACTGGAAAGGTGCTGGGCAGGACTGTGCCTTCCTTGCCCAGTGAGGACACACAGTTGGCGTTTCATCCTTGTCTGGGAACGGAGTGATGAGCTTACCTGTGTCTTGTTATGTGACAGATCTCCTGCACAGCAGCCCTCTGCTTTCAGTTACTCTGCATATGCTGTGCCTGATTCTTCCCCTAGCAGCGTATGCGATGGAAGTGTGTTATGTTTTCCATTTGTTTATTTGCTTATAGTCTTGTTTTCAGCCCCTGCAGAACTTGATATAGGTACAGAGCTTCAGAAACGTACACATAACAGAATACTAGATAACTGTGATTTGGTTACAAGGCAATAATTTAAGCCGACAGGTTTAGCTGATAACATAAAACACACAAGAGAAATAAGATCAGTTTATAAATGTCAGCAGAACCCCTGAGAGTGAGTTGCTGTCTTGAAGCTGACTCCAGTGTGGTTCCTCCATCTAATATATTATAAGGAGAAATAAACGGATGTCTGAAAAAATCTGGCTGACCAAGATTAAAAGAGTAGGGCTATAAATTAAATCCTTCCTCGGTGTCACTTTAAGCAACTTTGAAGACAGACAGGACACATCCGTGTCTGACGAATGCTAACGCGTCGCTAAGAGCTCGGGGACCCAGCATGGCACCCAGCTCCTGCCTGGCGCTCGTTGCTACGGGGCCGCAGGGGGCTTCTGTGCACTGGTGGTCCCTGGACAGGTGGAGCAGAGCCAAGCCATGCAGCTGGGCTTTGTGTGAGGTGTGCAGGACGCAGATGGGATGTGGGGGGAGGGTTGGCTGCGTTCCTCCCTGGGTGAGTCCGGCCTTTTCTGCACGTCCAAAGCGGCGTGTTGGCAGCGCGAGCAACCGCTCCCTGGTTGGGTGAATGTGAGCGGAGGTGTTGATGACGTGGAAAGCCTTCATCCCTGCGTGGGGAAGCGGGCGTGGGATGGGACAAGGGGTAGAGCTGGAGGAATCTGAGGTCGCTGGAAGGTGACGAACAGCGCGGTTCTGCGTGCCTGTTTGTGTTGTGTACCCAAACACACCTGTTTGGGTAAGCTTTTCTTTTTCAGAGGCATCAAGGAGAAAATAAGGGCAGAAAATCACTTACATATAAAATTGTTGTTACTCTTTTTAATTGAGCTTTGGTTCCCAAATGCAACTTAATACAAACAATAAGTAAAAATGAATTCCTCTAGGAAAAAAAAGCTATTAAGAATATGATTCTGTATCAACAGAACGTTAAGCTGTGTAATTGCTTACATATGTATAGCTCCGGTGCGTGCTGCTAGTTGTTGAATACTGTCAAATTATAGGAATCAAAGAGAATCAACTGTTTTTGAGGGAAGCGTCTAGCAGCTACGCGCTGCAGTGAGATTAACGTGCAGGGTTTCCAACTTGCATATTTAAATCAGTTTTAATCACATTGTTGAAGTCAGCCCACCCTGAAACATGCTTTGTGAATGACCCTCAGGAATATCCCAAACTGAACAAGGCTGCGGCCCTCACCCTGCCTCCAACGTCTGGAATATTTTACGTGACTGCACAGATCTTTTCACTGAAAGCAGAGTTGTCTTTCTTGCTTTATTTAATAAGGCAATATGTTTGTCCTGCTGTTGCATGAACCTGTGCTGCTGTGCACAGTGGCAAGAAGAAACTCCTGCAGCAATAAATGCCGTTTAAATACATCAGAGCTGAGATTTCTGCTCTGGGCTTTGGACAGTCTTAGTCAAATCTCGTTTAGGACAGTGGAAAGAAGCAGAAGTGGAAAGGTTTGTGTCTTCTCTGATGGCAGCGTCCTTAATTCAGTCGTGCTGAGTTTGTGAGCTCGTGCACGTTGGGGTTCAGATTCTCTTTTATTTACTGCTCGCTCAAAATAGAAACTGGGAGGACTGGTCACATGGGAGTCAGGCAGCCCTACTGGAGGCTGCTCCATTGCTTTGCCTTTTTATGTTTCTTTTAAGTAAAGCCCGTCAGCCTTGTTCCTCTCCCCTGGCAACAGCGTGAACTAATGTGGCCAGATGCACCAGCAACATGAAAGCCAGAATACACTGTACTGCTGTAAGAGGGACATTTATTTCTGGCTGCATTTGACAAATCAGGGACTGCTTGAGCAGGTGCTGTGGTTGCAGCCTGGGCTGCCCGAGTGCTTTTTGACCTGGTGAGGAGAGCTGCTCACCTGCTGCTGGAAAGGACCCGGCTTTTCCCTCGCTGTCTCCTTGGCTAAGTGGTGGCCGTGTCCTTGGAGGAGGCAGGCATCCTGCATATTAACGACACGTGAAGCCATTGAACACATCTTTCTCTTGCCAGCAGTCCCCTGCCTCGATGCCTCTTGAAACACAGAGGAGGAGCAGCCCTTACAAGCTCCTTGGCAGCCATCGCAGCCCGGCTGCACAGGGAACACTCTGCTATCACAGCACATTGCTGACCTCTGGGAAGTGGACAGGTGCTCCTCTCTTGGCAGAGGCTCCCATGTGTAACAGGTCAAGGAGCAGTAGAGTGGTTGGGCTACAAGGCTCTCCTGCGGGCTGTGTGCAGGGCAGGCCAAATGGCCCGGGCTCACATAGTTAACACAGATAATCACATCAGTCCCTCTGTGTATCAAACCAAGGCAACGTCGAAAGGATGTGGGAGAGAGAAATGCACTCAGAAAGAGAAATCAGAAATGCACTCAGAAATCCTCCAAACTGGATTTCCCTGGGTTTTGTGAGTGTGTTTGTACCTGCTGCATGGCTTTAGGCTTTGAAATGTTTTTGTCTGAATTGTGACAAACGTTACAGTCTTAAGTAGGAAGCGCTGCATCCTTTGATCAGTGAAATGTCTCTTTGGTCTTCAATAGGAGGGATCAATCTGTTGATTCCCTAGATTAGAGAATTTTATGTATGAGAACATGCATTTATTGTACAAAATAATTATGCTTGTCTTTACTTTCCTTTGATAGGAGACACTACCTGTCTCCTCCATGCTGAGTTGTTTTATTCTAGACATCATCTTAGGAAACAAAGGAAAGACAAGGAGGAAATCCATGTGGAGAAGCCAGTGAGCAGCTGTGTGTCTGTTTGTGTGCTTCTGGGTATGTGCAGCTGAGATCTCCATGTTCCTTCAGCTGCGATCCTGCTTTCTTAAGCAGGCAAACTTCTTCCATTAAATGGAGAGGAAACAAAATGGAAGGGGAAGCAACCAAACGTTGCTCTCTCTCCATCCCTGTGCAACAGCTGGCCATCATGACGTCCTTGTGCTGAATTGTGACCAAGAAAAGTACTCTGAATTTCCCATCTTTTGTGCATTTAAGAGCAAAGCTTAATGTATTCCGTGTATTTTTGTTGGCAGGTAGCAGTGATCAGTTATTCCTTTTAATACAATATTTCCAAACCAACACAACCTCGCATCGCTTGATATTCAGCCCACCAGGCTGTACTCAGATGTGTGCTTTGATTTCATTTTGGCAGCTGCGTTTTATTCAGCAGTCTATTCCCCTTTCTCCAAACAGTCTCAGAATTCACTCCTGATGTAGGTTTTTTAATGCTTGCTTAGGAACTGGCATGTAAGGTCAGTGTGGCATTTCTGCAGGGTTGAAGCAGCACCTGTTCACAAGGCTGTTGCAGGAGGGTTGAGTGCTCAGCACTGAGCGACTTGCTGTCTCTGCAGTGCAGGATGGGGGTTTCTGTGTGGCTCTTTGGAGCAGGAGCATTTGATTCCAGCCCTTTGTATACAGACCTGCAATAGTGCACGTGGCCTAAAACAACCTCACTCTTGTTTATAGGTCAAGCTGTTCCTGCGGGGTCACACGTTCGGTTAAATCTGCAGACAGGAGAGAGAGAAGCCCGGCTTCCAGACAGTGAAAGTGGGAAAAGTGACACAAGAGAAGAGAGAAGGAGAAAAAGGTACAGTGACACAAAGCTGCTGTCTTCTCGCTGCACAGATCTGGAGGAACTGTGGTTTCATGTCTTTTATTAGCAGCCAGGATCCCTGGTACACTCAATCGCTGTCTCTGCTGGAAACCTAATTGCTGGTTTAAGGGTTCAGCAGTGCAGAAAACTGGCCCCCATCTTCTGTGTTTCCTTTGGAAGGTGGGTAGAAGTGCTGAGTGTGGATATACAGGCATGTCTTTGTGGCTTCCTGTGCCACGATGAGGAGTGGCTGAGGGAGCTGGGATTGTTAGTCTGGACAAGAGGAGGCTCGGGGGAGGTGTGACTGCTCTCCACAGCTGCCAAAAGGAGGCTGTGATGAGCTGTGGTGAGCCTCTTCTCCCCTGTAACAGCAACAGGACTAGAGGGAATGGCCTGATGCTGCACCTGTGGAGGTTCAGGTTGGACGTTAGGAAATACTTCTCCAAAAGAGTGGTCGTGCACTGGCACAGGCTGCCTGGGGAGCTGGTGGGGTCTCTGTCCCTGGAGGTGCTCAAGAAACATTTCAGTGTTGTCCTGAGGGACAAGGTTTCAATGGGAGCTATTGGTGAGAGGTGAGTGGTTGGACTGAATGATCTCAGAGGTCTTTCCTTTGGTCATTCTACTATGCCAAAGCTACATTTGCAGTGTGACATCTCTGCATTACATTTAGTCTTTTGAAATCTTATCTGAAAGCATCGGAGCAGCTGTAGGGACTTCATTTGTGTTGACCTGAGCCCAGTACGTTGACACGAGTTATTGCTGATGGGCTCCTTAGATCACACAGCTTTCCCTGCGCCCAGACTGATGTCCAAAGTTTCTCTCATGCTGGCTTTTCCCTTTTCCTTTAATAAAGTCAGGTTCAGTTACTAAGAGGAACTTTCTTCCCTGAAGCACAGGGGTTTGCCATTGCATTTGCCATTGCAGATGGCACTTCTCTAGTTTGCGGTACAAAGAAGCTCATATGCTTCCTGGTGCCTCAACGACTGACTTTCCTTTTTTCCTGTGCAGGTGTTTATGGCTCAGATAAGTTCCCTGAACCAACGAGGTCCATGTAAAGAATAACGCAGTGTCGTTTTTGTTTCTTTGTTTTTTAACATTTCTGAGGAACTTCTGGTTGGACTCACCCTGCGTGGAACGTTGTGTGTGATGAAGAGCATAACTTCAGCTGTAGATCTCCATGTTCAAGCTTGCATGATCTTCTAGTGACACAATGGTCCTTTTCCATCGTTTTTTAAATTCTGAAACGCTTTCTGTTTTTCTGTATTCCTACATGAAAGCAGAAGCCTTTTTAATTAGCAGTATTTACTGCGTTAGGACCTGAGATTTGAGGTCAGCAGGTTCTAAAGCCTTTTGTGATTGTCAGGGTGAGGTGTCAGCAAACCACACAGAATGCAGCACTGGGACTGATCTTTTGTCGAGTGTGGCGTTTTTCCAGTTTTAAGTGAGATACATGTAATCTGGTGCTCGTAGCTCTTTTCCCCTGCTGTTATTCTGTGCTGATATATTACGGTGAAAATAGTACAGATAAAATTGTTCACTCATATAATGCTTCTTTTTTGTTGTTGTTGTTTCCTCTGCAAGGCTGAACAAGATGGATATTGACACAAATTCTTTCACATCCCAGGAGCTCAAAAAGGCATTGGCTAAAATGAAGGAAAGTGAGAAGGCAGAAAGAATGGTAAGGACAGTTGTTTCTAAAGCAAAGCACGGTCTGCTGATGCAAATGCACTATGTAGCATTTCTTGGAAATATGATGGTTAAAGCAAGCCACCACATTTCTTGCTGTCATTCTTGGCGTGCCACTGCTGATGTGAAATTGTGAGATCTCTTCTGGGAACCCAGAGCAGGTGCAGTCAGTGAGATGACTGACCCCTGAGAGTTTTCTCTTTGGGTACTATTGTGATTAGACCTGAATTAATAATACAGAAACATTACTTGCAAACACTTATGTGAACCCACGTACTCATTTCCTTTCCATTGTTTGCATTGTATTTTTATCCATTGTTTTGATTTATTTGTTCAACAGCCACTTAGTTCACAAAGATGTCTGCAAACCCCCAAAGTGGAATGAATCTCAGTGTGGGGATGTTTGTAAAGGAAGTTACATGCTGTTTGTTGTCCTCATTAGAATGAGGAAGTACAGAAAATACTGCTCAGTCCCTTCTGTTTTGAATTCAGTGATGGTGAGCAACCACTGGATGTAGCATGGTCTGAACGCCTGGATCTAGAAGGGATCTTATGGCTTAAGATTTCAGTCTCACTCAGTGCCTGGGTGTCGAAAACCAGATGGCTGTGCTGAAACACAGGCTGAAGTTTGCCTACAGAAGCTGTAAACTTCCTGTTTGGTTACAGAGAGGAGATGATCTGAAGTCGAACCGAATATGTGTGCTGCTTGGAGCTGGTTCCTAGGACAGGAGCAGCCACTGGCATGGCATGGGTGGATTATATATGATCCATCACATTTACCAAAGCCTTTTTTCTCCTTTTCTGCTTACAAGTATTTCCTTAAGCCCTAGCTCCTCCTGCTGCCTTGAAGTTGAAGGAAAATCGAGGTGGGAATCAAGGCAATAGTCTTTGAGTCCAGAAAATCTTTTCTCCTGTATCTGGCATCAGGGCAGTGTTTTGTTTACAGTAAGATTATTTATGCAGCAGCCAGCATTACTGATAGCAGGACTTCTTGAAATGAGTGTCATTTAAATGCAAAAATTAGTGACACTCTATTATGTGAAAATAAGCCATATTTTAGAAAAACCTGTTAGAATAGCTATTGTCCCAGCAACTGGGCTAAAACCAGCTATATCTAATGGACCTAAAGTACTCCATTTAAAAACTCTCCTGCAGGGAGCAAATTCATCCTTGAAGTAACTGTGTCAAAGTAAATTGAGTTACACCAAGCATGTTCCTGTATATGCTATTGCAAAAGCAATTTCTTTTGTGTGGCTGGAGTTGGGATAGCATTCTCTGTGTCTGTGCAGTTCCTATAGTGATTAGGCTGGCAATCATTAGTGCAGATTGTACATCATTAGATTGCTTTTACCTCCATTTCTGTTTCTTGCTTTCCCCAGCTCTTGGGAAGCCCACCTTCAGTGTGTCCCCTCTGCTTTCTGTGTCCTGTGTGCAGCAGCAGGCTCTGCCCCTCCTGTCACCAATACTGCAGCTCTCTGGGCTCAGATCTCTGGCAGAGCCTTCACCTTCCCTGCCACACACCCTTCCATTGCTCTTGGTTCCTCAAAGCCCTCTGGGTGCTGTTTGTACAAGCAGTGCTGCACAATGTCTGCTGTCCTAGAATGGGCCCCGTGGCACAGTGCTTCAGCTGCCTTCCCTTTGTGCAACACACTGCTCAGCATGGTCAGCTGCGACGTCGGGGAGCCTGCCCAGGGCTGTGGGCAGTCAGGTCTTGAGAACATCCCCATACAGGCAAATGAGGACCAGCAGTGCTTGTTACCTCTGTGTTCAATGTTGTTTTGAAAGGTTCACAAGGTGTAGAAAAGGTGTACAGGTGCAGGCTAAGCTGCTTGGGGAATGTGTGCTGGTGTTTTACAGTTAACAGGCTGCTCTGCTTGTGCTGCACTCGGTTGGATAAGTGCTGCATGGTGCAGTGCTGCTCTGTGAGCCTCTGGGTTCCAGGCTGCCCTGTGCAGTCCACAGACAGAGACCCGTGTGTGGTGGGACCTGCAGTGAGGCAGGGCAGTACATCAGGCTGCAGAAGCAGCTGCCCAGCTCCGCAAGCATTCCCTCTCCCAGGGTGCCCCCCCCCACCGCACTGTGGTAACCGCAGTCAGCTGGGTTCCCCTTGCACACCTGGGTTGGGTTTGCGTGCTAAACTTCATCGTCTGCCTTCTCATTTGGTTTTCTCCTGCTTTGAAGGCCCACGAGGAAGAAGTAAGGAAGAAGTTCCGTCCCATAGAGCAACTGAAGGAAGAGTTTGAAAAGCTCAATGTGAAGATGGAGACGGATTATGAAATCATGGATAAACTGATCAGCAAATTTAACAGCTCTGCTTCCACGCTGGATGAAAAAGTAGCGGCGCTTTATGATCTTGAATATTATGTTCACCAGGTAACAAAAACACATTTGTATCTACCATGTAAAATCCGGGGACTAAGGTATCATAAATGCGGTTTTATTTTTCTTATCAGTATCAGGTAATATAAATTCCTTAATTAGCATAATCCTGGGACAATAACAGATAGTGCAGGGCTACTGCAGGCTTATTTTTTATCCGAGTTTGAATAAATCAGCACTCGTAACAGTAGCAAGCAGTTTCCTAGGGGTTAGTGTTGCTTGATTTGTTGTCTGTTCTCAGGCTTTTTTTCCTGTCCTCTTTTTCTTTCTTTATATATGTGTTAATATTGTGAAAATGGGTTTAACTGCAATTCTGTGGGTGAGCATTAGTGGTGGCTGCTAGAAGAAAGCAATAGTATTTTCTCGCTCCTTCCATGGGAAGTGTCTGTGGCTGCAGGTAGGTGCCCTTACACCAGCTGACAGAGAATGTCTTTGTACCAGGGAAGACAAGAGACACCCAAGGCCTGCGTTTTATCTTGGCATGGGAAAGAAATGGTCTGCAGAGCCTCTCTCAGTGCTGGGCTGGTGGCAAAAATGACTGAAAGCTCAGGCACACGGCCAGTTGCTGAGCATCAGCTGAGCCGTGCTAATTAACTGTGTGTGAGGCTAAATATCTCCTGAAATCTGTCTTCTTCAATTTGCACTCACATTTTCTTTTCCCCCCTCAGATCTCTCTTTGTGTGCTCTATGCTCACACGTTTTCAGCTTTGGTTTGGTTTGCTGCAGGCTGTGAGCATATCACGCTCCTCCTTTGTGGTCGGCCGCTGCGTGTCCAAGCATTGAGGCTGTGCACAGCCTTGTGGGGAGGATGGGGGCAACTGGGAGAACTGGAGCCCAGCAACTGGGAGAACTGGAGCAGACTGGGAGAGCAGTCGCTCTCATTGACTTCAGCATTTCTGAGGGTGAATATGAACTCTTGAGAGGTAGCAGTGCAAGACCTTTCACTGCAATGGCATTTATTTAAAAATAAACACTTTTTTTTTTAATAATAAAGTTAGGTGAAGGAGTGAGCTGCTGAGGATGGAGTCCCATGCTCCATCTAATAGAAGTGCTATTTCCAGGGCTCTTTGTCTTGTGTTTCTACATTGAATCTCTGTCATGCACACGCAGAGGCTTCCTTGCTGTTTGTTCTCTGTGCCTTTGTTTCACTGACGGCATCTGTCTGACTCAGAGAAAAAGTGTGAACAATGGGCGCCCTCAGAGCTTTGTATTTATTTATACTCGGGCTAATTCTTGTGGTTAAAGGTGCCAGAGCATCAGGCCAGCATGCTAAGAAGCAGCCCCCAAACACACTGGGATCCTTTGCTTTTCAACATCGTGTTCTGGATTATTCCAGCAGAAAATCCCGCCTGCTTGGGGTGAATGATGTCAGAGCATCATGAGCAGCAGGAAAATGATCTCTGCTGCCTGGCCAGGGGCTGACCAGAGCATCAAAGGGAACCGCATCCAGCATCAAATGGGTCAGACAGGGGAAATGGCAGGGAAGCTGGCGCGGAGCACAGAGGGCTCCTTTGTGCATCCATCACAACGCCGCTCTGTGCCTGCGCTGCTGGGGCAGATGGCTGGGCAGCACCTTCTCATCAGGCAGGAAGCTGATAAGAAATATGACTTGTCTGTAAGCCAGCATGGCTTTTCCTTCCCTTTCTTCTTCCAGGGACCAGAACGTTATCTCCGCTCGGTACTGACTTGAGCAGCACTGGCTTAATGTAATTACTGAACAGCAGCCAGATCCGCCCGCGCCGCATTCCGGCGGGCTGACCCACGGCCGGGAGCCCTCTGCAGAGCTGTGCTGCTGGAGGCCCGGGGCGGCAGCCTGGGGCACAGGCAGAGAGCGGGGCAACCTGCTGCCGCTGTGCTGACTGCTCATCTCCCAGGGCGCCTGTGGGGCAGCACGCACTGTGCCCTAAGGATCGCGTCCTGCTCACAGCGCGGTCCTGGGCATCCTGGGCCTGACTCACCGTGAGGAGAACTGCAGGCAGGGGCTGAGTTCCTTGTCCCGAGTGCTGGCCCGAGGGCTCCGTACTTGCTGAGGTTTGGGTTGCCAGCTGTGCTTTGCTTCTCATCAGTCAGGATTCAAGTTGGCATGTTTGGGAGCCCATCTTGGAGGAAGGATTGGCTTCCTAGGTTATCTGTGATGCATAAAAACCAAATGCAAATGTGAAGAGGCCAGAGCATAACTCATTTATAAACAGAGTTCACGGTGCTTGCACAACAGTGTGTGGAGCCAAGCCCGGCTCCATGCTTTGCAGGCTCTTTCTCTCAATTATTTACTCTCCTTATCTTTCTCCTTTCCCTCCTCTGACATGCTACACCATTTCTCGTTGCTAATTTCCTCTCCATTGCAGATGGTTGACATACAGCTTTTCCTCGCTCTTATTCTCCAACATTTTTTCTCTCATCTCCCCTCCTCAGTTTCTTTCTCTTCCAATTTGAAGGCGTTCCCTGAGTAACTGCTGTCATATTTGCTTTTCCCCCATCCCTCTCCTCTCCATCCTTGCCTGTGTACTTTAGTCAAGAGCTCTTTTGATCTTTGCCTTTCTTTGTGCTGTTTTCAGTGGGCTGAAGCGAGGCAAAGTGCCTCTCAGCAGCCTCCGCTCCCCAGAGAGGTCAGCGCCTCCGAGCTGTGGGGTTTGGGACTTCTGTTGTGGTTTTTGGTGTTCTTTTTCTCAGTGGTGAGGAAGGAGCTCCACTCCACTCTGGAGATACTCCAGAGAAGAAAAGGATGGTGCTGAAAAAGGAATGCATCTTCAAAATGAGCTTTGCAGCACAATTAGTATGCTGTGGCAGAGCTCTGTGGCTGGCAGGAGAGCTGCCCCGCAGGACTCTGCTCTCAGTGAGGATGCCACAGTGGTTGGATTTATCCCAGCTGCTGCTGGATGCAAACTTTCTGGGCTGTTACAGTGAGTCTGTTCCCTCCTGAGCAGAAGGAAATGTCCAATTCTGGCCTTAAAACAGCTTCCAGGTTCTTACAGTTGGAGCCATCAAAGCCCTTGCCAGTGGGTGAATTTGGTTTGCTGTACAGGTTTCTTTGTAGACAAAGATGGTCCTGCAGAAAAGTAAGAGGTCTGGCAGATCCAGCCTATAGGGTCAGTTAAAAGTAGGATCTGAAGGGATCAAACAGCTGCTGCAAGTCCTGAATGAGCTGCAGCAAACCCACAGAGATGGGCTTTCTGTTGGCAGCTTCGCAGCTGGGCAGCAATTGGCAGCTATTGTGTGAGTGGGGAGAACGGACGAGCTGTAGCTCCCCAGTTTGTGCTTGTAAAGTCTTGTAGGACGTAAAGCTCAATAGTTTCTTCGTTCTCTTGGGTACCTGAAGTGTCTGACGTACGGCCAATTTTGGTGAAGGCACACGGTCAAGATAAAAATAAAGCTGAGCACGAAGGAACTGTCAGCTAAGAGGGAACATGGAAGCGGTGTGCAGTGTTTATTCTGTCCTACTCTGTCAGCTCAGCGCTCTCACTGAAATGAGGAGGTCATTTGGAGCAGTTATTCTAATTTTTATGTTCTTTTTGCGTCCACCAACATGACGCTGTTGTCTTTGTGTCTTTCACAAAAGAAGTTTTTTGCACGAGCAATTCGGCAGATTTGTCAGACGTTTCCTTTTATGCTGCAAAAAGAAGCCTTTAAAACCAAAATGCATCGATTTGACTTTGGACTGAATTTTGTACTGGAAGCACTTGGCTCTGTTTCTCTGACTTCTGTTTGCAAACCACCCAGAGCCCTTTTTTAATTTCCTCCCTAAGAACAGATGTCCGCTGTGATTTTTGTCTGGTTTGCCCCACGTCTCCTTCAAGTCAGAGACCGATGAATTTCCTGGAGGAATTCCCACTAACGTTTAGAGTTTTCCCTAGTGGCACTTAGTCCAATATTGTCGGATTTAGAACAATCATTGTATGGGCTGCCCCAGGGAGAAGCTCCTTGCTGGCGCTCCCAAACAGGGGCTGCCTGCTTGCTGTTCACATCTGCGTGGAAGTTTTGATTGTGGTCATGAAAAGCGCCTGGAACAGCCATGCAGCTGCTGATAGGCTCTTAGACATTTGTAGCTCCTGGTGCTACAATTAGCGCATTAATTAATTAATTGCGTTTGCAAAACAGATGATTCCCTGGGTTCCAGTAATGGCCGCTCCCCGCTCGCTCTCAGCGAGCTGAGAATTTTTTCTTCTGCCACGGCCAGGTTTCCTGCACTCCAAAGCACGTGCTGAGGGAAGTTTGGATAGCTGATCCAAGTGTCAGCAGTGCCTTCTGCATCGGATAATAGCCACCTGTCAGCGCACGCGTGACGTCCATCGCTCACCGGCAGCATTGCATGAACCAGCCGCCACGATTGCCCTGTTTTCCTAGCACTGCTTTTAAAGCTCAGAGCTGATGAGATGGGGAGGGCCGGGGAGATGATGCTCTTTCTGAAGCAAGGAGCTCCTGAAGAACTGCTGAATTGGGTCTCGAGGCCTGCGGCCGTTCCGTGCTGACAGGGATCTGCTCTCTCCCAGGTGGACAACGCGAAGGATTTCCTGTCCATGGGCGGACTGCGGCTGGTGATCGAGGGCCTGAACAGCACAGAGGCTGTCCTGAAGGAGCACGCTGCCTTTGTGCTGGGAGCTGCACTCTCCAGGTGAGCTCTGCCCCCAGACCAGGTGTGCCAGGTGCTTGTCCTCGGCCTTCTGGTTTATTTTCAATAGCCAGAGCTGGCAACTTCTCTCTTCCTGCGGCGCCCAACTTTCCTCTTCCCTGACCCAGCCTTTTCCTTGCAGCCCTTTGCTTCCCCCAGGCTTCTCTTCAGTGCATCCTCACCCTGCTCATTAGACTTAGCCAGAAGTAATTCAGCATGGAAACTGATCATTTTTTTCACTGAACTCCTCATTTTTGCACAATCCAAGGGGAATAGTGCTGCCTCTCCTCCTTTCCCCTTAGCAGCCTTTTGAGAGGGAAGATTTCAAGGACGATGCAGTTATGATTGCCCAGAGAACTCCTTTCTCCCTCCTATTCCTTGCTCCTACGCTGCTTTAGGACAGTGAGATGCTAATTTCAGAAACATAGCAATTCTCATGGTCTCTGAAGGTTTTTAGCCCTGGGGACGCATGCCTCCGACCTACAGGCATAACCTGAAGGGTTTCAATTAGGCACAGCGTTACAGATTGATCTGGAGGATGCTTGTGATTCACTACAGGATGGCTGTTGCCCAAAGGAGCTGCCCAGGCTGCCTGGTGCCTGCTGGGAATCTGTGTCACTCAGGCATGCCACATGGGCAGAAGGGGCTGTGTTGGCGCTCGTTTGGTTCGATGGCTCTCTGGGCTTTGTCCTGTGCATGTACGTGTTGTGCATTCAGCTGAGACTTCAGAAATGCGTTGGATGGACCCAAACTTCAAGGTCAGAAGCTCAGACTGAAGATTGAAAGTCAGGGCTATTGTATCTGCCTATTTTTATGCCTGAAAATATGGTCACTTTCTCCACCGTTAGGAATTATTTATCGCTTACTCTAATATGTAGTCCACAGATCTACATTTCTTTTGCAATCTTATATACATTGCAATTGGTCTACAGCGTGTGTAAAGTAATGTGGCTTCAGTGACAGAGCAGGTGCCCTGATTTACACCAGGAAACGATCCAGCTCGTGGTTCGAAGCAGAGCTTTGACTCACTGATCACAATAAGATTCATTCCTTCACTTCAGAAATGCAGACCTGCTCTTCCTATGCCAGCACGCATTTATATTTTGAAACAACGTTATCATCTTTTCTGTAGGATCTTTAATGGCATGTGGATGTTTAATTATGTTTCATAAAGAGAAAGTCATGCAGGGGCTCTGGAAACATTTAAAGAAAACCTACGAAGTAAAAAGGGACTATTGAATCCTGTCTTCCCTGACTTAGCTAATGTGACACTATCAGGACTCGAGAAATTAATTGTCTGATGATATGAGCATGCAGCAGTGGCTGACTAAACTAATGCTTTGCTTGGTGTTCCTCAATTGGAGATGCTTTTCTTTGGACAGAAACTGTACTTTTCTAACGTGACAATGTGAAAATAAAACTTTGGAAACTTTTAAGCCTTTTTTCTTTAAAGGATATTCTGACAGATGGTAATTTCTAGTGGTTCAGCTGAAGCACTGTCTGAGAGCTCAGTTCCAAAATGTGAGGAAATATTATGCCTGGGTTTTGAGTTTGCTTTTTTCTCCTCACTGTGCTGTGCTTAAGCTTTCTCAGTAGACACCTACATGCCAACTCATCTGCTTTGTGCTAGCTGCTTAATTTGTTTGTTCATACATTTTCTCAGGTTACTCTGTGCTCTGTTTTTGCTGCCAGGGGCATTTCAAGTACTTAATGCCACGCATTTTTGGTTGAGTTTTGTTCTTCGAAGGGGTTGTTATTTATTTCTTTCCCACAGAGTTGTTCCTAATGGGCTCAGTCAGGCTGTAGGAATGTTCTTGAAGCGCCTGGAGGTGCAGCATGCTGGGCTGTGGGGCTGTGAGCTGTGCTCACGTGCTGGTACCAAGTCCTGTGCTGGATGTCTGGGCACTGAAGAGGCAGCAGTCTCCTGCTCACAACCACCTGGCGGCTGCTTGGCCACCTACCAGAGCAGCTAGCTTGGCTCAGGACAGAGGTTTCAAGCTAAGCAAACCTTCCCCCCCAAAATCAGATTGTGATTGTAGCAGCTCCTCAGCCAGCCTGGGATAGCTGGAGCTCCTTCTGTAGCTGAACCTGGAGGAGGGAGCTTTACCTGTGCAATCATGAATAGGCAAAGCTGTGTTATGCCCAAAAAAACCACAGGGCTCTGAGCAGTCTCAGCTCAGTCTGAGTCAGAGCCAGAAGCTGTAAAAGAAAAAACAGTATTCAGGTGTCCTTGAGACATTCTTTGTCTCCGACTGTTCAGGTAGGAAGCCGGTGAGGGATGGAGCAGCCAGGTGCATCACCCTGGTCTTGCTCTGCTGCACAGAGAGCAGCTGTGCTCTCATACAGAGTCCAGTGATTGCCCAAGTTCACAGTCTAAAACCAAAACGCTGCTTTCTGTCCCCACACTTGGAACTTTCTCACTGCTGAGTGACCTGCTGCAGGCTGAGCAGGAGTTGGAGATTTCTCCCCTTGCTTTGGCCATGGTTTCACTGTGGATTGCTGCTGTAGGATGGGTGGCAGTGCTGCCTCAGGCTGTCACCGGAGCTGCCTGCCTGCAGCCCAGCTGAGTTCTGGCTCTGAGCTGAAAACCCAGTTGGAAGAGAATGGTTTTCAGGTATCAGCAACTGGAGCCCTCGGGCCGTGTACCCGTGCAAGATACTGAATCAGCAAAGGAAGGAGGAAGCAGAGGGCACAGCAGGGGCAATTCAAGATTTCTGCTCCTTGCTTGGAAAGCAACCTTAGCACAGAGGAGTCTGGCTCCCAGAGCAAGGACTCACAGAGTCTGCTTGCCTGGGTGTTGCTGGGGCGGATGCTGTCTTTCAGGTATCCATCTGCCTCTGTTTGTGAGCCTCCCTCTTGGAAGAGGGTGATCTGATATGAAAGAAATCACAGTTTCATCTCTTGTTTCTCTTATACGTCCTTCATTTTTGACATTTGGGGTTTAATGGCCGCGTTTGTGACCAAATCAAACATCGTTCCATCTGGCAGAGCTCTCTGAGCGCTGCCCTTATTGCAACTCTGCAACCTCATCGCAGTCTCACTGTTCTTAAACCTTTAACAAAATGTTTTCCATTCAGCAGTTTACAAAAGTAAACTTCATTTCAACAATCCTCAAGTGCTCTGATTGCAAATAAAAGTTAAATGCGCTAACAAAAATAATTGCCAGGCATGTGGGATTGTACATTTAGGTATCCATAATTCACTAACAGAATATGCCAATACACAGCATTATCTGGATTTTCAGTGATTGCATTAGCATAAAAGCACGTTAGCGTTTATCCAGTGGTACTAACATTTAAATATATATAAAGTATGAAATATTAAGAGACGGCATTTTGGAGGCAAGTGAAACTACTGCCTGTAAAACGTTCTTGCTTATTTCTGAAGGTACGCTCCAGTGTCTGCGGGTGACAATCAGCATTTGCACCACTGGGTCCAAACATTGCAAAAATGTCAATGTTTTATGCAAAGAGGAGCTATATTAAGCTAAAAAGATTGCTGATGAGAGAAGTGTCTTCTGATGTCCTCTAAGCTATTTACAGGCAGCATCTTCCTTTGTTTGCAGCGCAGCCAGGCCTCTGCAATTTGTATCTAGATGTTTCACGAGGCTGGAAATGTTAGCCAGGAAGGATTATGTTTGTGATTAAAACCTCAATTTTTAAAAACTTTACCACCAGGAAACGTTTTTCCACACCAATAATTTGAACATTTTAATATTTTGTAATAAAAGGATTTTTGTAATCCGTTTAAAAGGGGAACAATAATTTATGTCGAATGCATTCTTGAAGCTTTATCCCAAATGCTCCCCATATGCTTAGGGGTGAATTAGAGGTGAGGATGGAGAGAAGCTAAGCCATGCAACCTGTGAGGCAAAGAGAAGCGGTTGGTATTTCGTGGGGAGAGGCAGAGAGGGCAAAAAGTGAAGAATGAGCCACATGGGGAGTTCTGCTGAAGCTGCATGGCTACGGGCAGGGTGTCAAAGCAGTTCTCTGAGCCTGTGTTTGCTGTGCGTCCTGGCAGCGTGCTGGGCAGTCCCATCTCAGCTTCTTAGGCTGGGAGACCTTTCAGTAAGCCCAGAGCTGCCAGGATCTGCTGTTCGGCTTGGTGAAGTGTTGGGAGCAAGCTCATCACAGCTGGTAGACTGAGCATTGTCCTGTAACTGCCGGTAAGGTTCCCAGGGATGCCTTATGTCAGCCCATTGCTTCTCTTACCCATTTAGTTTGAGATGATTAATCCCTTAATCCCGTGTGCATCACAAATACCCCAGCAGCCGCTGTTCCCCCTACCTGCCCCAGGGTGTGTTTCAGGCTTGCTCAGGTGCACATATATTGCTCAGCTGTTTTCAGTCTGGCTTCTGCTTTTCATCTTCTTTTCTTTGGGGGCAGGGCTGGGGGAATGCTGCCTCCCGTCCCTGCTGTGTGTGCATTCGGAGGTGCCTGTTCTGCAGTGTATGGCTGCTGTGTTGTGTCAGAGGAGTGCTGGCTCCTTCCAGGGTGGCTTTGTCAGAGGAAGATGTTCCCACCAGATTTAGTGGTTTTAAGTTCAGGTTGACCTCGCCATGGAACTGGTTGATGCTCACTGCTGTTTGATATTTAGGTCCAGCGTTAAGCAATAAGACTCAGGAAAAGTGAAATTAACGACCTTGCTTCAGCTCTGTCTCATCAGGACATAAGAATCTCCAGGCGGCAAAATGCACGCAGTTAGCTTAACAAGCACTGTCCCTACCCATTTATTTCAAATCCATCTTCATGTTTGTCCCTTCCTCCCCCGGCTTCTCTTTTTACACCCTACAATCTTTTCCTCTCTCTTTATTCATTTTCACTGTTTGCTTCAGCGGCCTTGTTTGACAACTTTGTGTGCTTGCCACCTCTCAGATGCAGTCATTCTCGCTCGACTCCCTGCCCAATGGTAATTTCTTGCTTTGTAGATTCTCTTCTATTTTTATTTGAACTCCTGACTCGTGTAGAGTTAGCAGCCTCACTGCACTTAATTTCAAATTAATT